GTGAGGCAGAAGAGAGGCACCGATTTCACAGTCCAGTCCTGCAGCCTGTGGTTTATTCAAGGAAAGGAGTAAATGAGCTAGAGCAGAGCTCGGGGAGGCTGCAGGGAGCTTGTTTCAAGGCCCAGGAAGATCCTTTTGAAGCGCTCTCAGCTGCTGCTCTGCATCTACAGCGATACAGCCCACTGCCCTCAACATTGCTATTTTATCTGACAAAGATACCACGCTTCATTGACAGAGCTGCCATCGCATAGATTGTCAGTAATTACACTGATGTTTTAAATGTTTGCCGATTGCTTCCCCCACCAGCTTTTCCATGGTTTTGCTTGGAGCCACAATAACTTGCTGGTGTCGTAGGCTGACAAGCCAGGATAGGAGTGCCTCAGGCCGGGATCTGTCTTTTGCCCATCCAGCTGATGTTTTCATTTGCAAAAAAGCAACAGTGGAAATTCCACGGCACACTGAGACAATTTGCTTCCTGTCTGCCTAATCTTCCTGTCCTCTGTTGACTCTCGGCTGGTTCAAATCCTTCTATTTATCTATATTTATTTAAGTTCAGTACATATATTTGAACATGGTACCCAAAGATGACATGTCACTTCAGTGTTTTACAAATTGTAAAACATTTTACAACATCAAGATATTCTTGAATCATGTCCACTTGATGATTCTTTACCGTTTTTGGAAACCAGGTGCTGGAACTGCTGAAAACCCCCCACCCAACATTTGCACCATCAGTGCATATATATCTTTCCTACCAGTGCATATATGTCTTTCCTGTCCAGGGCATATTTCCTTTGCCTGAAAGTTAGTGTTAAAGAACTTATTCAAGTTAACATAATATCTATATCTGTATCTATCTATCCATCTACATAATACCTGTGTTTATTTCATCCCTGTCCACAGCATTTTGCATTATCTTGCAAAATCCATGTTGCCTGTTACGCATCTCATTATTTTCCAAGGGCTTATAGATAATTTCTGCATTAAAATATTTTTCCAAGAGAAAATTTTATCTGGCTATTTTGCAAATCCCTGGATCCTTTCTCCCGTCTCCTCTGGATGTGTTCCCCATAAGTCCGAGCACTCTCATTGCACCATTTGAAGAATTCAGTGTCTTTCCATGCGATGACGTCGCTGTCGTTTTTAAATAACCCCACTGACCCCAGAAGTTATATCAAGCTTCTGCCTAGATTTTCCCTCTGTGTGGGCCAAACTTTGCAAGCCAGTGCTCATCACAGAGGCTTTGTCTTGCCTTTTCTCCACTGCTTTGGCAGTCTCAATTCCTACCATTCTGTGTTTTAAGATTTGACTATTTTTAGAGTTGAGCCTTTTCTGTGCAGTTCCTGTGGCAAGCAACCATGTTTCTCTTTTCTTTATTTCTTTGAGTCTATTCCTTTCAGCTCTCCCATTAAACTTCTGGTTCTGGTCTCTGCCTTTTAATTTTTTCCTCTCATTCTGCTACTGGCTTTCTGAGTGAACGCTTTCCTTTAGACCACTTGCATCATCCTGTTTCCTCTTATTTACACCACAGCCTATTCGCTCTGTTGCATTATTTAATTCTCTAAAAGGTTTAGGGGTTTGTAGGGAAGACGCATTGCAAAGCACAGCTGTGTTGTGTACATTTACCTTCTGCCTTGTCCTTTTGCTTGCTGTTTGGGCAGACAGGCATTTTTGCTCCGTTGCTTGCAGAAGCGCCAACGCGTGAAGGTAGCGCTGCTTGTATCGTTACTGGCTACATCACCCACAGGTACACCAGCAAACAAGGAGTTTTCTATTCTAGTGGAGGCCCCACATTCAGACATCCAAAAATTCCCTAAAACCTAAAGAAACAAGGTAAACAGAAGGACCTTCTGGTGGCTGGTGCTTCTCGCACGTGGACATGTGTGCAGTTGCAGTTAGGCGGTCATTCCTGGTCAGGTTTAATCCCCAAGTCGATTTGCTATTTTTACAGCTTCTCAATAATCAGCACCATTTATGTACACCACTGATGTACATTTTAAATAAATAGCTACTGCAGCAAAAATTTGACAAGGACAATATTTATTTTTTCTCTGTAAACATTTGGATATGCTCCTAAATATTCACATGCTCCTTGCTAAAGTCTGATCCAGGACAGCAGAAGTCAGTAGAAGCCCTCGCATTGATTCCCAGCAGAGTTTAACCTTTGGAAAAGGGAACTCTCCATTCATGCAATGATGAGCGTGCTTGCTAGGGAGAGGTCTCATTAGAAGCAGAGCTTCTCTTTGCAGCATGTCACTTCACTAGAATATATCTGTTTGGTAGAGAAAACAGGGAGCTTGGGCTTCAATTTGCTCTGTCTGAATCTACCTACAAGAAAAATCACGAAAAGCCTCAGAATTTCCAACTCTGCATCAGTTTGCAGCTACCTGCAAATCTGTTTGGTCTGAATCTGCCTGTTGGCCCAGCAGGATTCAGTTGCCTGGTCGGGAGGGCGGCCTGTCGCTGGCGTTGCTCGGAGCTCCGCGTTGCCTGTAGTTGTGCAGAGGAAATTGCTCAAGTCAACGCCGTGTCTCAAGGCAGTGCCAACATCTGCCTGTCTTGGCAGTAGGACAGTCATCATAAATACGCCCTGCCACGGGCTGCCGAATACACTGGCTTCTGGATAACCTTCTCTTCCAAGGGAGGTCCTGCAATCCCCATTCATGGGCTGTGGCTGATGGTTTCTAGTCTCATACTGGTGGCATGAGTCTGCACGTTGGTCCCTTTCTATTCCTGCTTTTGCAACCTGAAAGGGAACCGTTTCTTGCTGCAAATGTGGGAAGCCCCAGGAGCAGTTTGCAGCTCTCCTGGCTTGAAGCCTTTGGCAGAGTGGCACGGACGTGTATTTCTGCAAGGGTCTGTCACTCTTCTGTTGCTTGACTTCAGTGCTATCAATCAACTTGTTCCTTTCAGCAAACTGGTTTTAAATCTCGTGTGGAAAAATTGCGTCAGTCAAAGATCACACTGTGTAAGGATGAAAATACGACTGCTCCTCAGCACTGTAATTCATTCTTATTACAGACGTGAAAATAACCTGGAAAAATATTAGATTCAACTTTTTAGACCTTGAGACGGTTGAAATTCTCTTTTAAAAGAAAGGCCAGGGCTGAGACTTTGTCTCTGAGGCATCGTTTTTAACTTAGCGGTAAGGTCTGAGTGTCTCGTGTCTCAAGGCAGTGCCAACATCTGCATGTCTTGGCATAGGACAGTCATCATAAATGCGCCCTGCCACAGGCTGCCAAATACGCTGGCTTCTGGATAACCTCCTCTTCCAAGGGAGGTCCTGCCGTGTCTCAAGGCAGTGCCAACATCTGCCTGTCTTGGCAGTAGGACAGTCATCATAAATACGCCCTGCCACGGGCTGCCGAATACACTGGCTTCTGGATAACCTTCTCTTCCAAGGGAGGTCCTGCAATCCCCATTCATGGGCTGTGGCTGATGGTTTCTAGTCTCATACTGGTGGCATGAGTCTGCACGTTGGTCCCTTTCTATTCCTGCTTTTGCAACCTGAAAGGGAACCGTTTCTTGCTGCAAATGTGGGAAGCCCCAGGAGCAGTTTGCAGCTCTCCTGGCTTGAAGCCTTTGGCAGAGTGGCACGGACGTGTATTTCTGCAAGGGTCTGTCACTCTTCTGTTGCTTGACTTCAGTGCTATCAATCAACTTGTTCCTTTCAGCAAACTGGTTTTAAATCTCGTGTGGAAAAATTGCGTCAGTCAAAGATCACACTGTGTAAGGATGAAAATACGACTGCTCCTCAGCACTGTAATTCATTCTTATTACAGACGTGAAAATAACCTGGAAAAATATTAGGTTCAACTTTTTAGACCTTGAGACGGTTGAAATTCTCTTTTAAAAGAAAGGCCAGGGCTGAGACTTTGTCTCTGAGGCATCGTTTTTAACTTAGCGGTAAGGTCTGAGTGTCTGTTCCTTAGATTGCCTATTGTATAGATGCCTACGGAGAAAGTGCTTCTTGGGGACCGTTTGCATTTAGCACCAGCATTCGTTTCATTTCATGTGACAGATGCCTTGGCTTTTGGATCAGGTAATCACTTGCTCATATCCCACGGGGGCAGCGTTTTGACCTCCCCAAAAGCTGTGATTGGCATTAGGAGCCCAGGCTGGCTGCTCGGCGGGACGGTGCCGAGGGATGCGCGTGGCTCCCTCGTCTTCCCGGCGCGGGATGTGCCCTCCGGGGCACGTCTGCACGTGTTTCATCTTGAGCATCGTTCAGCGTTAATGCAAGGTGCTTTTGTGCCCTTTGCTTTGGCCTGCCCTGTCAGGGAGGCTTCTCCAGGACAATTTGATAGAGACTTAACTAGTGCTGCTGCTGCATCGCTCATGGACCCCGGGAGATTTCGGCTCCATCCGCCGCCCTTCTGTAGGACGTGCATGCGCTTTGTGCCCACATTATTGAATTTTTATCATTTAATTATTTTTCCTTAATGAAATCTATTTTGCGTTATTGATTAGTATTCATGGAGATGGGGTTCCACCCGATAAAGCACAGCTGGCTCTGTTCTGCCTGACATACAGGCTGCGTTTAATCTACAGACTACAGAAGATAGTGCCACCCAATTAAGATTTAAATATCTAAAAGCCTTTAATAGCTGTTGTGATTGATATTCTGTAATTGTGGGGTTTCTTACTAGATTTCAAGTTAGGCTTCATAGATTCCTCCCCACTCCCCTCGCCCAGAGCTTTGATCTTGAGATGCTTTACTGAAATCCAGAGGCTGAATAACTCCCCTCCATGCTCCAGCATAGTCCTGCTTGTCATTCACTCATGAATATATGTCTGATTTCTACTTAGAGGGATTTTTCTTTCTGAAAGACAGGGAAATCCAAGAATTGAATACAAACCGTACATTGCAGATATTTTATTTTAAGCAGGATTTCTGCTTTTTTTTTTCTCAGTATTACCATACAGCAGCTTAACTAATGAATATATAATTTTCTTTCCTTTCTGCTTGTCATGCCCTGCTAACATGGACATCTACGAAGGCTCAGGTTGGTGTTGCAATCTGTCTTCATCTTATTGTTCTCATTTAGTAAAAAGGGGCTGCGATGTGTTCATCAATCAGCTTCCCCCCACCTCCTCTCCTTAAAACTAGATCCAACATTATTACTGCATAACAGCTTCATCTAGAGAGGTGCCACATTCATTTGCTACTCCTAGGACTATCCTTCAGCTTCAGCAAAATGAGCTGTTTCAAAAGCAGGACATTGATTTATTTATATCAGCCTAAGTTTGCTGTGCTTGCTGCACTGGGGAGGAGGCAGCAGCCACAGCAGCCAGAGCTTCTGGAATCAGCCAGAAAAGCTCAGCTCTCCCTAACGACTCGCTGCCTTCGTTAGCCCCGTGCACTTGACGACATGGTAAACCCGTGTTTGGAGCTATCTGTGGTCTAGATTCAATAGTTTGCTGATAGCGAAGCAACATAATTGGAAAAGTAAAACAAAAAGCCAAGCCCTAGGAGCTGGTGCTTTGGAATTTTTATTAGCCTAGCCCTGATTCACACTTGAAAATTTCCTTTTCCTAGTATAACTCTAAGGCAAAGCTGTCCTGCTTAAATATTTCAGATGGGAAGAGCTGGTGTCTGGGTGATATCTATGTCTGACTCCGTGCAGGGTGAGGAATGTAGTTACGGCAAACTACACTGGCTGCAGTTTTGGTTTGCCAGGCTTCTCATTTTCTGCGGTTTCGGTCATGAAATAAATACCAAAATTACTGTCATTTTCAGACCTGCCCGTATCCCATAAGTTCATGTAATCCTGGTTGCTGATGCGCTTTTGGGTCTCTCGCTCCTGCTCCTAGGTGGAGAGGTGGAATTTAAGGAACACTAGAGGATATTTTCTTTTTTTTTTTCACTTTTAATTATACTGACGTCTTCTATAATCTCCAGTAAAGGATGCTAGCACTTTAGTGTATTATAACTTGATATTTCTGATGCCTGCACCAGATTTACAGAAAGTAAGGCACTTAGCACTAGGAAGTACAAATTAATAAACCCTAGCGAGCGGCACCTTCGTTCTGCATCTACTGTAACGGCTGCAGTTCTGCAGATCTCCCTTCAAATTACTTTTTAAACAAGACATTTTCCATTCATTGCACTTAGAAATTTGAAAAACGCAGACATCTGCCTTGGCATATTTAATTAACCATTAGAAGAAAATAAGAGATCTACTAGGAGATCGGTGCTTTTAGTGTCCAGAAAGACTAGAGTAGAACATCTGAAGAGCTTGGGGAGGCGATGCTGAGCATCCAGGTGCTTTTGTATCGAGGACTGATTGTTGCTTTCCCAGTTCCTCCTCTTTTCTGTTTTCTCATTGCGAAGCCAGTGTTTTACCATTAGATCTGCTTCCTTTTTTAATGGCATCATTCTGGGATGGCTCTATCTACACTTTCTAGTATGTGATTTCAAGCTGCAATGTCATTGCGTTGGTGCAGGAAATAGAGGGTGCTTCCATGTTCAGTCCCTGCTCACTGAGGGCTCCCTCTCCAGCCTGTAATAAACTGCTTAATTCTTCATCCTCCGTTTTCTCATGTGCAAATTAGCATTAAAGTTGGGTTGTTTTGAGCATTGGGTTATAAATAGATAATCAAGAACTGGGGAAACTTGAGAGGATTCGTAATTGTGTGTGTTTACCCTTCTACTCAGAGCAGAGCTTTCTTTTTTGGCAATGTTTCTGAAACCTGTCACCAGGGCTAGTTATTTAGAGTGATTTTGAAGTGTCGGTGCCCGTGTTTCTGGGCGTCAATATTGCCCAGCAGGCAGAGACTGGGGATGTCTGTTTGAATCCTTCTGTGCTGTGCTGGGAACGACTGTTGCCCTGACTCACAATCCGTACTTTGTGCTTAGACATTAGAATAAAATTGATCCCATCTTTTTCTCAGCGGGAAGGTTTTAGCCAATTCTAGGTTTTCTGTGAACTTGGTTCAACACCAGTGAGGGCTTTCATAACCTTATCAAAGTTCTAATTGATTTTCTATTTTCCTTACCGCGAAGGAGGTCAAAAATAGTAACCCCCTTTTGATTCAGGTATAAATGGAAACTGAAAGTGCTGAGTTTGTTTCACTGTGATTTGTGCCATTATATTATCTGCTAGAGGCATGAAAAAAATCCAGGAATTCCAGTATTTTCACAAACCTCACCACATGCTGATCTATTCAAAATTTTCTGCCATAAATCATTCTAAAACAGTATCTTTTAACTTTGGTGACTAGAGTCCAAATGTCTAAAAATCAAAAAAAAATTCTTAATCTCTGAAATAACTGCTTGCAAAACCCAACTTGTCAAAAAATTAATTGTTCAGTCAGTTTTAATACTGATGAGCAGTTAGCATATTTGTAGCGATTGTGATCAATACATAAACTACAATGAAATGAAATCAATTTGATTTTAAAGAGCATTATGTAATGTTGAAATTTTAATGAGGTTATTTCTGTGATGCAGCATTTGTTCATAGAAAAGTACTTGTCCTTCAGATACATAGTAACTTTTGTAAAGCTTTTAAATGCATGCTTAGCTCTACCAAATCAATTAAACATGTGCTTAAGTAATTACCAAAATAAGTACTCCATTTTGAATTCAGTTTTAAAGAATTGAATGAAGAAAGCTTATTATCGGAAAATGCATGTGTTGGATTAAGGGGAATGCAAATGCAGCATTAGGTAGAGTATTACAGGAATTAGTCGCTTAACAGAAGGGAAGAACAGCATCTAGCAACCAAAAAGAAGAGGTTTGGACTAGCTGGATGGAGTCAACATGCAGTCAGACCTGCAGGTGAGAGCAGATCCTCGCTGTCTGTGTCCACAGCTCGATGGACACTCGTGAGCATCGTGATTCGTGATGTTCCCTAGATCCCATGAGGGATCCTTGCTCGCAAGGGAAGTGCTGGCTTTCAAAAAGCCATGGCTTTACACTCCAGATGTGCAAGAAAGATGAAAGTGGGTAGGCAAAGTCATTAAAATGGGTGTGCGAAAGCATTGAAAATGGGTACATGGCTGACAAGTCTCGGTCGGAGCGTTTTCATATCTAAGCCTGCATTTCTGTTCCAACAAGCGTCCTTGCAAATCAGCTCTTTTTGGCATATACAGTTCTTTAGAGATACTCATGGTGGTCTCCATGGTTTAAAAGTAGGTTGTTAGTTCTTTGGTTCTGGTTGTTTTAATGTGTTCAATTTAATGTAACCTTGGTATAAGGGCAGAGATGTGAAATGAACTTATGTTAGAAATGAATTTAGCCCATTTTTATTAGAAATGAATAGCACAGAGTTTGTCCTCAGGGTCTCAGGCAACAACTACAGTGATCTGTTTGGTTGTTCTAATATAATAAGCAGATATTGACTTTAGTTGAGGTGAACACCAAGATTTACTGACTTGAAAGCTAAAATATCGACTGAGGGAAAGCCAGAGTCAATATTTACCTTGAGGGACAATAAATCTTGATGTTCACTGAAATATGAAGTCACTATGATTTTCAGAAGCGCTGAACACCCGCAGTTCTAGTTCAAGTGCAGGTGCTCATCAGAAAACCCAAACTTCTCCCCGGAGCATGGCTGTGGATCTGTGGCAGTGAGTCGGGTCAGTTGAGTGAGTGCACTTGTTATGTCTTCTGCAAGGTTAGAGGTGTTCCCGCCCTACGTGTGAATAAAGGAACTGCAGAATTTTATAAGTCACATGAAAGCTTTCCGGTGGTTGGATATTTGGACATTTCTCTAAAATTTAAGTACTGACTATTAAGGAGAACATAAATAAGTTAGTGTTTGTATATGACGTTTAAGTAACTGTTAACCTGAAGGTATCTTAGCAAGGACTCCGAGTTTGCATTGGAGTGAGGGGAGATGGCTTCTTGTTTTAGGACAAGCCTGTAGCAGGGTTGCGTCTTAAAAATAACTTTTGTCTTCCTTTGTTTAGGACTGGACCCATCAATTTCATTTTAGGATTCAGACATTAACGTACTCCAGATTCACTCTGCTTCTAACTCAGATTTTTTCCATTTCAGTTCAAAAAAAAGCACTCTTTACTCCAGTCTGTGTTTATTTCTTTGTTCTTTCTTTGTTCTTCAAAATGCTGTTAGTATTTTCAGAAGATTTATGGTCTTTCCATGTGATCCAGAAAGACTAGGAGTGATACAGTGGTCAAATGAAAGTCACTGGTAAAACTCCTGGGGGCTTCAGCCAGGCAGGATGCCACCCTCTAGGAATAGACTTATTAATGGTATCCTGCTCATCCAGCCCAAGAAACAGCATGTGAATAAAAACAGAGACATGGGGTTGTCTGGCTTGGGTGAGGAGCATGGACACCATGGCACGCTCCGGCACGCATCTGTATCCCAACAGGACCTGGTAGAGGGGAGCTCTGCCAGCTCAGATGTGTCCAAAGAACAGCAAAACTTGGCCAAAATCTGCTGAAAATGCAGAACCAACAACATCATCTGGTTGACCTTCTTATGCAGCACAGCTGTTAGCCAAAGGTATCAATGGAAAGTGCTAAGGCTCTACTCAAAGAAAAGAAGAAGAACAGGAGTTGATGGGACACAAGTGCTGGGTAGGCAGGATAGAGGAGCGGGAGGATAGCACACACAGCAGGAGAGAGGAGTGTGTGCCCATCACCAGATATTTTTAAAGGCAAAGAGTCACAAATTATACTCACAGCTTCTAAACAGATGAGAAATGCACATCCATGCACAGTTTCCCTGACGGAAATTCAGCATCTGTTTCAGACTCCCACTTAAACCTGACCTTTCTGGTATTTGCACTGGAGGAAACTGCCCGTCCCAGTGACACATGGTGGCTACTGGCACCTTTCTGGTGTCTTCACATAGCAGCAGAGGTGGCATTGCTTGGTCTTCGAATTGGGCAGGTGCCTCTGCACCTCACCTGGTGGGACTACAGATGTGTTTGGGGACTGTTAGCTAAAAAGTGAGTCCTTTCCCTCTCTTTGGGCAACATAGTGAGCTTGGCTGCACAGCCACCAAGCGGGGCCGCTTGGCCCTGCTGCCCCGGCCAGGATGGGGTGGTGTGTTCAGGTGCACTTCAGAAAAAAGCAACGGAGAGCATTGCATCTTCAGGTGGGCTTCTGCATTCCAAATAAATAACTTTTATTCAAAGATTTCACAGAATGGTTAAGATTGGAAGGGACCTCCAGAGATCATCTAGTCCAACCCCCCTGCTTCACTTCTGCAACAAAACTATCAATGGATTAATTAGCTTGAACATAAAAATCTGCTAGCGTAACGTTTCACAGCGTGCTGCTTCTAACAGCTTGAGTATCCGTCACCTTTTAAAATGCTCCTCGAGCTTTGGGCTGTATATTTTTGTCTTCATAGGTACTATAGTTCAGGTGAATATACAGTACTGTTTGCCCGGGAGATGTGCTAGAGATAAGGCACTCCCAGGGAGAAAGCATTTATAGGGTTTGTATATAAAAATGAAATTTGTAGGGAGCATAAAATTTCATTCTTTTACAGTAAATGACTTAAATGAATATGTTAAAAGCAAAGTAAATGACCACTAATTTTAAGTTTGTGCCTTCTGGAACATCAAAGGATTCAATACAGCAAGTCCTGGGGAACGATACGTGATAGATTATTGTGTGAGCGCTGTGAGCAAATGAAATTGTAATGGAATTTTGTCCTGGCTTTAGAAAATAGCTGTTATTTATTCTGTTTCCTGAGATGCTGCATGCATACTACTGTTTATTATGCACTTAAAAATCCCTTGGCAAGTCAATAATGCATAAATGAACTTAAAGATATTACAGTACTCTTAGCATAAGGAGCATAAGGCAGGCTATTTTCCCCTGAACTCTTTTCTGGTTTGTGTGAGGCATTTCTGTGGAGGTACTAACCTGGATAGTTCAAATGAATAGTTTTGATTCTTCTCCCCGGCAGGTGCACGAGGCAGTCCCATGTTACAGCGAGTGCAATCAGTATGCCTGGGCGGTAGAAGCGTGGTCTCCCTGCAAAATCGACAGCGAACAGAATTCCCTCCACTGTGGAGAAGGAATGCAAACGAGAAAAGTCAGGTGCGTGCAGACAAAAGCACATGGCCTTAAAATTAAGAAATGCTAAAGTGTATTTGTGTAGATGAAGTTGCTGGCCAAGAGATAGGATGTTGTTGAGTCTGATGTGTTTCCAACGAGAAGAAGGATGCACTTATGGGAGGCAGTTTAGAGGAGAAGCCTCTCAGAAGTGCAGCCTTGTGCTCTCGTCAAGACTTGTGTGAGGAAGATGGCATGATGTCTAAATTAGAATTCTTCCACCTAAATGCCGTGTGTATGAAAAGCCTCCTGAGCAACAACCCTCCAGCTGCAGATTTGCTAGTATTTCCTTGAATACTCACACTGGAGTGACATTCATCATTAGTAAGTGTTTATTTCCCAGGCATGGGGAAATGCTGAGTTATTTCCAAATAGTGTGATGTTACCAGGAGGAACTCAAACCTGTCTTCCTGACGGTTGTCATTTGCTATTTACTCTGCTGCTGCCATCCAGCTGAAGTGAAAAGCATGCAGACTGAGACTGGATTGGTTTAATGCATTTCTTGAATAGCAAAAGTAGCAATAGCATACATCATGTGTGGAATCATTTGTATTATTAATGTGATTAATTCCATCCATTGATTCTTTTGACCAGTTGTTCTGCATAGAAATAATATTTTATATGTGATTCCTTAACTAGAGTCAGTCAGACCTGTTGGTTTTAGTCTCTTCTATAATAAGCTGGAGAGCATTGTGTGAAAAATTCTTTTTTCTGTGTAGGTGTGTAAACATTTCGGAGGAACATGAAGGCGAGACTGTACCCCATGCCATGTGTAACCAGTCGGAAATCCCAGAAGAGACTCAGAGGTGCAGCCTGTATTGCCCCGGCGAGTGTGCAGTGTCTGCCTGGGGACAGTGGAGCAAGTGCCCACAGGTGAGATCTTCTCGCCGCGCTTCCTAGCGGGATGTTTCTCACACTTTTTGCTTCTTATTGCCCTTGAGCTATTTTATAATGGAGACATTTTCTACCACAAATAAATGATTTTCTAAGGGAATTGAAGATTAATGGATTCTATATCCAGATGAGTTTGATCTTTCTCCAGCGGATGAGCTATAAAAAGTTAATCAGTAAAATACATTACTATTACTGTGACAGTTGATTTAACCCATCCTTCCATCAGTCTACAAGAAAGGACCCAAACAAGTACAATGGGTGAAGGGGTTGGTGTTTTAGTTACAATAAAGGCTGTCCATGTTAAAGAACATTCCCAAGGGAGCACTCTGCCAAAGGCACACAACTTCTATAACAACCTTCTGGTAAACTGTGGTGGTGTCCCTCCTCTGGACGGATCTTAGGCCTAAGAGAATGACTACCTTCCCTTCTCAAAAGTCAGTAGTTTTGTCTAGCATCTCCTTTGAAAAACCTTGAAGGCAGATTTGGGGCAGCAACAGGCAGGACATGGCAGCAAAATACCCAAACAATTTGTCATGTCAGAAAATAATCAAAACACTGTGCATTATGCAAGGATGCAAGCCATTGCCAAATGGCCCATATTTTCCTAAGTGTTCAAGATGGAAAGAAGCTGTAGCATCTGTCTTGTGAAAACTCTCAGGCCTCAAAGTTTTTAATTGAACACCTATTGTTTCGCACTGATCAATGTCAAAGTAGTTGCCAGGTTTAATGTCAGCCTAGTTTAGATGAAGCATAACGCTCCCAAAACCAGTATAAATGCTTGGATACCTTCAAAGTCCTGCAGTGATAGGACTGTTGTTGCTTTGTCCTTGACTTGTTTTTTTTTAAGAAATAGATGTTCTTCATTTTGCATGCAGCAACCTAATGCTGATGCCCTCAAGGCCCCTAGGTGTTTTCAGGTGTGTTAGTTGCACTCAGTTGGTCATGAAGCACTACCTGACCCTTTAAGCATCCTAGTGTCCTGAAGACACCCAGAGTTTTTGCCTGAAGACTCCTTTTTGGCTGTGGTGACAGCCCATGGGTGTGCAACAGGGACATCTCAGACACTGGTGGTTGCCCCATTGGGCACCGTAGCTCTTGGCAGTTGCAGTGCTGAGTGCCCTGGTTCTTGTGCCTCCCTGCACGTCCTTTCACCACTGTAGTTGTTAATTCATAGGCATTAGGGTGCCTGCTTGCCAATGCAATTAACTGAACAATATGTTTTCACAAGCTGTTCTACAACAGTTTGTTGGGAAACTGAGAGGACTGCGTGCTACTATAGCATGTGTTTAAATAGTTCTGTCCCGACACTAAACAGTAAACAGCTTTAGAGGGAATAGAAAATAAAAGCCTTTCCTTGAAGAGTTTACAGCCGCGCTCTTACAACGACACGGGCTGTCTCTGATCCTTCAGTTTTATGGGACGACCACGCGACACCCACGTTACACACTTACAGCAATCGCTGGGTTTGCTGTATGTGCAGAACAACCCTACCAGGAAGGTGGACTGGGTGGACTGTATTTGTTCTGTGCACGTGCCCTGATACGATGGAGCAGGGACTGAGGGAAAGGGGTTTCCAGGGGCATTACCCTCCTGGGGACAGTCGATGCAACCCGCAGCCACCGGAGTTCCTGCTGGGAAAGGTGGTCGCAGAGGATGACCACGAGTTAATTGGAGTATCATGTTATGCCAAGGAGAAAAAGGAAAACCTTTCAACCTATTTGCTTGCTTTCAAGCACATTTACATGTCATAGCAAAATAGTTGGCCTGTTCCGGGAAATCTTCCCAATCTCTAGGCACTATTCAGCTTGCTTGAGACAAAGAGAATTTATCAGCATCATCTCTGACTGTGTAGCTCTTTAATTTGATATATTTGCCTAGGATTTTGGTCATGTGAGAGCTCCTCTCCAGCCACTTTGGAGTTCTGCTCATGTTTTATAGTGCTAAAAGTAAATTCATCCTGATAGCAGAATAACAAAGTTTTAGCAGCTAAGCTTGAAAAGGCATTTTAAGTTATCTAGTTTATCCTTTGTCAGTATGCCATTGGATCCTGGATACTTTTTAGGGTATTTTCTCATGTAATAATACTCTTTCCAAATGAATATTCATCATTCAGGATTGTAAATGATCTTAAAAGTTACTGGAGTCAATGAGTCAGAAGGGTAGCCAATGCTCTGTCAATATGAAGTATGTACTTCAGGACTTCTTTCTGCACAGATATGCACCGTTTATAATGATTCTTTAAATGATTTTTGGCTACATTTCACTTTTGCTTTTAAACGTTGGTCTTTCAAGAGCTTTCTTTCTAAATTTCAGATACCTCCAGAATTACTTTCTTTATATTTTCCATCTGAGTTTCTACTTTTGCATCTTGAGTATATGAAGATACAAAATTACCCAAAGATAAATTTTAATATTTTCTCTAATTGCACTTTGTTGTGATCCAGAAATGCATCTGCCTGAAATATAATACCTGAAGGTTGCTTTTTGAGCTTCTCTCTTCAATAGGATGCATCAAGTTCATAATTACTGGTTTAAAGCTTCCCTGTTATTCTCACATTCCCTGTTCTAAAAAGCAAATTGAAAATGGACTTCCCTCTGATTGCAGATGGTTCTTTGGCTCATAAAGTTTTCTTCTTTGTAGCTAAGTAACTTCCATGTAGCTTAAGTATCGAGGCTTTAAAGCTATTTAAAATAACGGTTTGAGGCTCGCTAGTTAGAAAAAAAAATCATGAGAAAATTAGATCAACTTGCATTTTGCTTCAGAGATTTCATATTCGTTCCAGCTACAATAGTGTGTTCAGCAGACATCATCACTTGATTGCTCAAAGAACCAGCTAAACAAGCTGGAAACTGAAATCCTATCATCTCTGTTAAATATTCAGTGATCGAATAACATGCACTACCTGCAGTGTCTTGGCTTTGTGTTCATCTGACTTGGAAATGTAATTAATTGACTTCAATTGAATTCATCAAAGCATGCTTAAAATGAGTTAATATGCAAGTTGTGCTACAAGTCCCTGAAATAATTATCTCAAATTTATTTTGTTAGCCCTCCTCTGTTGTGTGGATAACAGTCATAGCCCCAGTATCAGATCTGAGTGGCCTCCGTGTTTGCCTCAGCTGTTGGCCTTTCTAGGAGCTAATTCTGAGAGGTCTGAAATTAGTTAATTATTCAAGGTTACATATCTAGTGAGTGAGAACAGCTGTCCCTGGTGCTGGGAGCATATTTCACATGGATCAATAGCATCATGCACCACTGAGGGCTTGGAGCAATTGAGTTGTTACTCTCTTGGATCTGCCGTGTATGAGAAGGGTGTAAATAACCGATGGTGCTCAAAGAGGGAGCAGGCAGGAGGGTGTCTTGCTGGATTTTGATGTGGTTCTTGTCTAAGGGGTGAGTCCGGGCTGTTAGTTTGGAAATGGTTTCCCTTTCTCAGCCACAGGGGAAAGAAGTTGTGGGCTCATTGTGGCTCCCTGGGAGCATTGCAGAAGTCTTCACCACAGCATCATGCGTGCAGAGACAGGATTAAAGAAATAACTGATATGGGATAACTTACTCAAGCGAAGCATGAGGCTTTTGGCTGGTTCAGAGCATTTTTGGAAACATGTACACTGCTTCTTTTACGTATTTGTGACTCGATTTTTTTTTTTGGTATACTCTTTTCAAAAAGTTAATATCTCCTACATTTTCTAGATTCCTAGTTCTATTTCTGTTTATCTTTACCAATGACAATTTTTTAAAAATAAGCACTACATTGGATGCGGGCAAAGTTTCAGAACTTAGATGCATCTCAAAAAGAAAATGTGGGCAAGTTAATTTACATTTTTAAAAATTGCTCGTGTTTGTTATGAAACATCCATATGTACATGAAAAACACAATAATGGCTCATTGCACTGGTAAAACTAGTTAAACCCGGTGCTGCAGATGCCTTTACCTTAGTTTAAGGTGATATGCTTCATTATGAATAGCCTGTTAAATGTGATGTGGCTAGCTATTTATAGCCCAGTATAGGAGCTATTTGATAAAGCAAACAGCTTAAAGGGCTGTCTAATGGATTACAACTTGTTTTGTGCAATTATGTTACATACGAAAACTTCAATCAATGGCTAATGTTTTAAATCAATTGTGAAGAAGGTCAAATAGTATATATAACAGCATGTAATATGTTAGCAGCTCTTACTGAGGATCCTTGTGTTTATAACCTTACGGTTTTACTTTATTTAATATCCTTCTCCTCTAGAACAAATTTCTGTGCTTTGTCTGCTCTCTTGTTGCCTGGAGGAAAGGCTGGGTACCTGCTTTGGGTGTATTTATGTCCTTGGCTTTCTGTGTTAGCTTAAAATAGTGACAAGTGGCCATGGTTTAAGAAATGTGATGGGCTGAAGAAAGTATGAAAGATGAAGTAGTTATAGTGCCAATTACTCCGAGGATGGCTTTTGTATCATCTCAAGTGAGTGGTCCTTTGGGAGCACCTCTGATTCATTCCTCTCTTAACATGGCATGTTCCTCTTCTTGCTTCAAAATGTTTTGTTTGTGTAGTGGTTTATATAATTTAGTCTATAGATTCCTGGCCTCTAGCTCAACCTTTTTCACGCTTGATGCATAAGAATAATGGAAACAGTGAGACTTAATATAATAAAGTAGGCTGGAACAGTATAATTTTATTTGTAAAGAAATTTATTGCATATATATATGCTGTCCTTATGCTGTAGGTTATTAATTTGGGTCCTGAGGTAGGTCCCTATTAGTATTTCCATCTAGAAATTAATTCTGTCCTTACCTGTGATACACAAGGAAGCCTATGCCTAAATGACACTCTCTGTTGATTACAATCATCAAGTAAGGATCTTGGGCTAAATCCCACAACCAACCTAGTCTTTAAAACTTAAATGTCAAATGGAGTCGGTGCCTAACGTTGATGGCTAAGGTCTAGCTTAGGTTTCTGTGGGCCTCTGAACTTCTGTCCGAGCGTCACAGTTATCCCAGTTTCATTGGTCTCTCTTGTGTCGATGACATCAGGATCCATATCCATCCCCCTTTTTTTATCATCAATGGTGATTAGCTTTTCCCTCAGCATATTTTAAGATCCAAAATCAGGACTAGATTTGTGCAGTTATTACATCACATATTAGATATGGCAGTGAGGATAATGGTGATGGTGTATCTTCTTCCCAGTATCCTACACACTTCTTCATTTCTTCCTAATGCACGCCGGAAATAATCCCTCTTCTTTAACTTTTACTGCTTAACTACTTAAAGTCCACTAAGCCATTCCTCACCCTTACCACGCAGGAAATATTTAATTCTTTGGCTGGGATTTTTAAGGGATCCCATGGGAGCTGTGCACCAAAGCCCATTGAGATTCCAGGACAGTGGGATCCTTGGCTCCCTCTTGCTCCTTTGAAAATCCCAGCTTTCATCTTTTGCTTTGCAAGTCATTCCCTCCTGCTGCTTACTCAGTTCCATATACATTTGGCTCAATTTTTTCCATAGTTAACTTGAAAGAGTAAGGCCAGAAAATCAATTATAAAACTAAATTGACTTCTCAATTGACGTAAAGAGAAATTCAACAAATAATATTACAGGATATTAGTTACAGCTTGCAGACTTTGAATTCCCGCATGTTCCCTGTGTACTCAGCTTGATGAAATGACCACGTTTCCTACGGAGACTCTTTATTGTTGCCGCCCAGGAGGAGCGGGTTGCTTATCGCGCGGACGGGCTCCTCGCAACGCGCCTCGTCGGCGCCGTCCCGCATCGGCTTCGGGGCAGCAGACGAGTGATTTATGTGGATGCTGGTGGGCACAAGATACGCTCTGAGTCGTGGCTGCTCTGACATGCGGGGTGTCCGCGGGCACCACGGATCGAGCACCACGGGTGCGTGTTGGGCAGAGGCGGGCAGTGCTACCTCATTAAAAGAACTCACTTATCTACAAATAATTCATATTTCCTGGCTGTGGATCCTTATTTTGAAAGCAGCAAGAGCATGCGTTTCAGCGCTGCTGCTTTCACGGCATTTATTGAGTTTTCTCTTCTCCTTTTTGTAACATAATTCCTAAATACCCTAATTAGGAGTAGCTGCGGAGATACTGTCTTTGATTTTTATTTGTTTTTTCTTTCAAATTGGCAAATCATTGACGTTATTCCTCCTCATCGTGAGGATGAACAACCCAATTAGTCACCGAACAGGTACCCGTTGGTAAACACTTACCAGAGGTGTCCCTTTTAGATGATTAAGAATAATTGATTATTTTAGGTGGCCAAGGATATTTGAATTAGATTGCTGTTTAAAATTACTTGACAAGGTGATGTCTCAGCAATAAGAGCATAATAGAATTCCCTTCACATAGCATAAGCCTAAGGAAAATAGGCCTTGACAGCTTAGTTTTAAGACTGGATCAGACCTTTTCCTTTTTGTACTGATTTTTATTCTGTCCAGTTATGCTCCCATCTGTGCAACTAATCCAGTTTACAGCAGTCTGAGATCTAGATTTTTGCTGTAATGCTGTGACATTTCTTTTTAATATTCCCAATAAAGGAATTCCCCATACTCTCACCCAGGCGGAGTTTAGTGTTTGCAGGCAGCTACTTGTTACTACATTTTAAATTGTTAGATATTTTTTGTATTAAAGTACTGTATAGGAAAAAAAAAAGATATTTTAAATTCCCAAGCATTTACAAAAATAATATCTTTCTACTTTCAATATTTTCAGGTTTTCCTGCTGTACCTGAGAGATCATCAGCTCTAATGAGAGACTGTTAGGAATTAAATGGGTCATCTTGTTCAGTTAAAATGCTCTGAAAACTTCCAGTAAGGATTTCTTTCCATCAGGCTTTCTGGGACCGCTCGTGTGTTCCTGCTGGCCTGGACTGTGGGAATAGTGCTGTGTTCCCAAAGGGCCCACCCTTCCCAGGCCCATTTCTGTAGCCCCATCTTGCAGCTTATGTGGCTGCTCACTGAACAATGCCAGCCTCAGCATGAGCTTACTTAGACTTTTCCATGGTTACCTTGAAAATCAGCTGGGTTTTGTGCTCTTCACTTCTGATTAGCCCTGTCCAGTGCCTGGAGTTTTGAATCCTTGGAGCTGCTGATGCAAGCTTGGGAGGGAATGAAGAGAGGTTTCAGTTGTTTTGCATTCAATTGGCAAACAAGTCGTGGCTGTATCATTACTGTTTTATAATGATTCAGGCAGTCCTGGTATTAAAGATTTTTTCCTAAGAGATATACGACATATATACACAATTATATCGTGCCTAACATGGCAGCAAGCTCAGCCCATCCACATCTATGCTTTTTTCCTGAGGTCTCTTCTACCTTCTGTCACTTGTGTAGGTGTGCGACCCCAACGTCATGCAGCTGCGGACACGGCAAGTGCTGCGCTCCTCGGTCACCACGAAGCCCTGCCCCGAAGGCTCGCAAATGAGGCCGTGTATTCTGAACCAAAACTGCTTCCAATACCAGTATAACCTCACAGGTGAGTGTGAGCTCTCTGCCACGGTCCTGGCAGGACTAATTTCCACGCAGCACTTTTTTACTAAATGATACAGAATTGAAATTTTGCTTTTCTAAATATCTATTTATAAAAGGTCCTGACTTTCGCCAGCTGCACCTTTAGTTATGTTTGCTTATGGTATTTGTTAAAGCCTTGACATTTAAACTTCAGTGATTGTTTGTAGATAAATACATGATTTTACTATTTAAGTTGTCGTTACAGGTACAGGAGAAATAAGTTGGCTTTATTCTCTTTGGTACATTATCAAAAGAATTTATTTCTTCTTTTATTTATATATGTATACACACACATACATATATAAAATATGTATATGCAAATATATATATATGCATATATACATATAATATGTATATAAAACATATACAATACAATTTTGTGTGTGTGTATATATATATCTGTACAAGTTCCAGTTAAAAGCTCTGTAGGATTTCAGTGCAGTCACTATTACCAACAAAAGTATGATTTAAAGACAATGTAAGTTATAATGAATATAAGTTATAATGATGGACATGGATGTTTTTTTAAAACAGACTATTCAGAACCTTTGTTAGAAACAATTAGATCTGTTTCAAACCAACCAGAAAAAAAAAGAAGAAAATCTTTTTATTCTTTGACTTGCTCGATAAATGAGAAATAAACAAATATCTAAAATGAATTTGCAGGTGGGTGGAAAGGGATACCAGAGAAGGAGAAAATGTTAATTTTCTGCATAGACACTGAACCTATTTGAAATAACAACACATTAGATGACATCATGGTGCCTTTTTTTTTTTATCTTCACACTTCTGAAATGAGGAATCTTTGTGAGTTCATGTTTCTCAGAGGCATCGCAAAGTATTAGGCCTTACTTTCATATGTTTCCTATTTGTAAGTGGGATCCAGGAATTTTAGCTGTTTTTGTTATGGTGTTTATTCATTTTTTCGTGGCTTAGTTTTATTCTGAATATCACAATCTTGGACAAGTAATAAGTCAACTAGAAATCCTACTGTTATTATTAGAGTTTACTTTGAAAAAATTGAAACCTTTGCTTTGGGACAAGAAATAAATTAAAATGGAGTAACTCTTCAGAAACTTCCATAGCTACTTTATCAAAGCAAAACTTTATTTCAGACAAGGCAGCCTTGTGTATATGACAACAGGATTTCACTGATGCACTTGATCAGCATTTAACCGTTTTCTGCGTGGTCTAATGCATTTGTTTTCAAAGGAAATCTGAGCACAGAGGCACAAATTTCTCCTCCGAGACTTGCCCTTTTTTCCCCAAAGGAACTAACTTGGGGCTTGTTCGTGGGCTTGCTGTAAGGTTGCGTGGTGGAGCGCCCCGTTGAGCAGGGATAACCGGGGTAGGTGTCAAGCTGCTTTTTTCCTGTGTTTCCAGGCTGGAGCACGTGCCAGCTGGCTGCCAACGCCACGTGTGGCCCCGGGGTCCGGAGGCGCCTGCTGGGCTGCGTGCGCAGTGACGGCAAGGCCGTGTCCCCGCGTCACTGCGAGCAGGTGAGGCCCTGCACGCGGAGGGGACGCGCTCCAGGACCTTCGTCTTGAGGAGATTCACGTCCCTTGAAGCGCTGTGTCAGGATGCTGTGTCGTAGTTGTGGGCAAATTGCCTTTATTAGCAGAAATGCAGGATAATAATCTGCAATTAATGTGTGTCAATGCTGCTCTGCTCGCACGGGGATGTAGCATTGGAGTAACGTGCCTAGGGTACATGGCTTTGATATCCAGGTGCCAAAATTCTTCAAAATACAAACCCATTTTACTGATCGTATCCTCAAGAAGATTCTCTGTAACTGGAGACACCGGAGTAGCACCAGATCGCTGCTTATATTAAAATCTCGTTGTTTCCTTGTAGCTTCACTTGGAGAAGCCGGCGGAGATGAGCGCCGAGTGTGTCGTGGGCTGCGCCGTGGACTGCCGCCTCTCGCCGTGGTCCACGTGGTCCGAGTGCTCGCACACGTGCGGCGCCGGCGGTGAGTCCGGCCCCGCGCGCTCCGTGCCACGGAGAGGGGCTGAGCACCAAAAGCGCTCCGTGCTTCCGAGCACATTTAAAAAGCGAAATCATTGCTTTGATTTATGGTAAACCATTTAAAAAATGCTTTTTGGAAACATATTTCAACAGTCCGAGTGGTTTTTTTTTAGTGAAAATAGTGAAAATGTGTGAAATATTCCAGTGCCTGAAGTACTGGAACCCCTGATAACCCCTGATACGTGGAGAGAGTTTATATAGAATTATCAGAAAAGCCAGTGAGGATTGCAGGCTTAATAACTAAAGATCGTTTTGGCAGAGTTACTTTTAGTAAGATAACTATATCGTTTTGAAGGAAAAAAAATGAGGATTATTGTTCGTTATTTAGCGTACACCTCTGTCTCCATCTTGTAACCACAGGTCCTTGACTACTTGTATGTTTCCAGTAACTTCAGCCAGGCTTTTTATAGTCAGTAACACTTACCAGCACAGAGAGAGCAAAAAGATTTATATTTAATTTTATATGATTTTAAGAGTCCTCTGAGTATGACAGAAGGAAATGCATTGTGCATTTTATTCAAAATAGGCTTGTGACATTATTTTCCACATTTCTGATGGGCTTTAGACATAAGCTAATCTTTAAGATTTAAGAGCCATAATATGTACTTCAATCAGATTCATTTGAGGTCAGGAAGAAAAAAGTTCTTAACTTCTGTAGCATGGTCCCTTCAGATGGATTTCAGAGATCAAAACGTGTTACACAAAAAGCTTAATATTTGGATTAGTGGTGTTCTTCCTCTGAGTTTTTAGTATTTTTATTAAAATAGCATCTTTTAACATAAATGAGTAATCCATAGTACTGTTTTACCAACAACACACTAAGCATACTATTAATTCCAAACACTATTATTTTTCTTCAAAATCTTTTTAAGTATTAATACGCATGTTGTCAAATGGACATATATTACTTTTCTAAGTGTTAGATCATTGACTAAAACAGAGCTACACCTGCAAAAGCAGGTTATGGCTTTCAACATGCCGCTGGATTATGCAGTGGAGCAGTGACTAGCTCGTGCTGTCTAATGGCTGAAGGTTTCCTCATCCCGAGCTCTTGCATTGCCTTGTCTGCACAAGGTATGTCTCACTTTCCTAAAGCCTGATTAACGAGCTGATGGTTCTCCATGCATTTCAAAAGTAAACACACTCCTTGCCTCCTAAGTCAGAGCTGAACTTCTGCTGAGGCCTGAGCTGACCGAAAACAAGAGCACCCTGCAGGAGCAGGGCTCAGCTTTTCTGTGGATGTTATTGATGTAGGTCCCCAAACTTGTTAAGGCTACTTGAAAAACATAAACTGAGCAGCCTTTGGCCTAGACTGAGTAGTGACCTTCTGGCCCACCAAAGACACGAAGCTGTTAGGCCACCAGCTAACGAGCTGGCTTGTGCAGTTCAAGCGTGTGTGTTCAAAGCCAGGGATATCATTCTATGAACTTGCATCAGCTAAGAGCCTGCAGGAGCTGGCTTAGAAACTGGGTCATGAAGAGGCCAAGCTTTGTTAGGTCCTTCTTGATTATTCAGATAGCTCCAACAAGAGTCATCTGATCCTCATTGTGGAGTACGAATGCTTAGGAATTTGTGTCCCTCTGCTCCCCAAGTTATTCTGAATGCAGTTTATGTTACTGTAGCCCCAAACCTGAGCCACATTTTGATTCAGCAAGAAGTGTCAAGCATGGACTTGCACTGGGTTCAAACATAGCTGATCAAGGCACATACCTATCCATCCTGCAGTCATGGCCCTTGCCTTTCCAACAGCAGAAATCAAGTCACCTTCATTTCAGTTTCCTTAAGGCATTCCAATTAGTCACAAATGGTACTTAATTACAACATTAATAATGAATTAATTAATTATGTATGCAGGTACCTCACAGATGAATATAGTGAGGTTTCTCTGCCAAAATCTTCAGTGCTTGCAGTGCCTAGAAAATCAACATGAGTTTCTCATGGTTGTTTGTGAGAATAGGATTGAGTCTCAAATTAGATGTAGAAAAACAAAAGGTGACAATAAAGAAGCAGTGGGAGTAGGCTGTAGTAAACACTAATTCTGCTTTACTTTGTCAAATAAATAATTGCACACAATTTGGTAAAGCCAAAATGTAGGACATAAATACTTGCTTCTCAGGAATAATTCACATTGAGTCATTGGCACGTACTGCTGCTGGCTCCCCTCTCTTCTGCTCACATAGAATAAGATTCTGCTTCTTTGGCTTGTCCTGGAGAACGTGCAGAGGGCTGGCTCAAGGGCCATAAGTGACTTCAGAGAGAGACATAATTTAGGTATCATCCAGATCAACATTTCCTGCTGCTGGATTTACACTTTCATCTGTTTCTTGAGCAACATTGCTAACACTTTTATTTCTGAATTTCTTTAACATTTTTTTTCCTGGCCATCTCTTCCAGTAACGTGGTTTGCTATGATATATTTTAATGGCTGGTACTTTTTCCCCCCCACTCAGGTTTCATTTTATGGAACGCTGCATCAAAACATGATGCGGTGCCGCTGCCTGTGCGGCGCTGACATCTAATATGGTTCTGGTACACAGCAGCCAGAGGGGAACATATTGATTTTTATAACTGATGATGACTCGAGTAGATCTCTCTTTCCTGCCTGTTCTGCGCCCACGGAGGTGAAACTTGTATTTGCCTCTCGGAGCTGCAGGTCTGGGCACTGCTTAGTGCTTGGGGCTGACATTGCTTTATACAGTGCAGGCCCTTGTACTTACTGCTGTGCTGTTGAGAAAAGATTTATAATGTCATCCTAATGGATGCCGTGCGACCCACTTGAATCAAAGTTACTGGAACGCCACTTCTTGAGGAGCAGCTCCAGCATTTGCCAGTCGCGGTGACTTTGGACCTGGTCCTGGTGGCTTTGGACCTGACCTCCCGGGTGGTGGTTAACGAACTCGATCCCTGCTCTAGTCTTGCGTTTCCTAAGGGGTTTGCATTAGATGGGCTCTGACACACTGTCACACAGATTAAACACGTTGGTAATTCCAGCTGGGATTAGCTCCAGCAGAAATTTTAATAATCTCAATTTCAGCCATGTAGCATCACTTTGAGCAATGATCTGAAAACGTCACCCTGTGCTTCAGTCGTGAAGTTTTAGCTGCTGATCCCACACAGCTCCACAGTGACCAGTAGCAGCACTAACAAGCGCAGTGTCTTTTTCTCTTTCAAAAGTACTGGGAAATTTAATGTTACGAAGAAAAACCTCAATTTTCAGTAGACTTTCTGTTCTAACTTTCAAATCGCATAGCACTGCTGAGCAGATGAAACAGAAATGTGGCTAGTTCATTGGGAAATTTAAGAAATAACAGAAATTACTTTGTCTGTTGCAGAGTTTGCAAAGGAAACAAGTTGAAATCTCAGCTATAATGAATTTCTGTTCTCAATCGATATTATAAATTAAGATATTTGTGCAGTAAAGACAAGTGGAGGTTTTCTGTTGCTTGAGTCACAGCTGAGCACCAAGATAAACTTTAAGGTGTGATGGGAGGAGGAAAAAGAAACAGTAAAGAGATGTGTGGCAGTGATTGTGCTGAGGGAAAATGCTCTTTTCAATGCAATCTCTACACTCTTCTTCTGCTTTAACGATTTATTCACAGCAAGCAGAGTGGTAGCAAAAATGAGCCGAACGCCATTGCAAACGCCGGGAATTTTAATGGTTTGGTTGGCCAACAGTTGGAAAACAAAGTATTAATGAGAAGAGTTGTTGAATTCTTCTTAAAAGAAGGAATTCAGACTGCCGTTTGTTGGTCTTTTCATTTCCTTTTTGCCAGCAAGGTGTTAGGAAGGGTGACTGAGAGGAAGATGTTTGTTTGAACACTCCAAGGTTTGAAGCGTTGGGTGCCCGGCGGTGAGTTTGGGGGCGCAGGGACCTGGGGCCATCCCTGATGCTCTCTAACCTCAACACCCCATGGCACTTGAACTTGCCGCTGTGTGTCCATTGGGAGTCAAGGCAGTAGTGTTATCCTGGCACAACCTTGCGCATCCCACTCCATCAGGCTTTTTTCCCTCTTCTTTTTAATTGTAGTCTGGATTCTGATTGAAACATTTCGAAAGAAAATGTTCCTAGACTTAAATGGACAGCAAAGGAGAAGAAAATGGAATTGCTGCAACTTTAATGAATGTATTCAGCTTTATTATTTCAGAAGTAGTAACGTAATTGCTTTTTCCATTCACTAGCAAAGAAGTTTTCACCAATAATAAATAGGATTTTAATGGAAGTTGTAGAAGTGGTTATGGCCGGTAATAGCCATTAGAGTACTTGCAATTTTCAAATTAGATGCACATAATTGGTCATAAAAAGAAAATTTCATTTGTTAAAAATCTGTGGAAACATATTGAATTATAATGTCGGAAATGATGCTGTTACTTTCTTGTCATATTTAATAGTCAGGGTTTAGTCAAGTTTTAAATGTATTGCCTAAACAAACAGTATATTTGGAAAATATACAAAGCATCAGTGACTGTTTCCACAGAATGGAAAATTTAGTAATTGCATCCGTATTATCCAATAGCTTTCCTGAATAATTGCTTTCTCAACAGCTTTTTATTGGTGGAAAAATGAACTAGTAATAATGATAAACCCATATAACTACTTCTCACAAGATCTCACATTATTTCTATTGATAACCTCATGTACAGGGTGTCACAACGGCGCTATGGATTTGTCAGCAATGTAGCAAGTTTGTAAAAAGAGATGGATTTTATATATGGTGTTAATTAAAGAAAAGCCAAACTACTTTTAACTGCATTTTTATAAAGTGTTGCTAATTTACAGGCATAAAACATCAAAGTTCTGTCCATAAAATCTCTCCACAGCTGCCAGTATTAAAATAAAAAGCCTCCAAAAAACAAAACAGTCTGTTGGGCAGGGAGCATACCCCTGCTGTATGCCCCAAACAGGGTTCTCCGCGTTTGGTTCTAAGGTTATCAGTTCTGACCGTGAGGCTGCTGGTACACATGGGACTTTTTGAGGGGTGGTTGGGATGCCAGCACCTACCGGGGTCTTGAGAGCTTCACAAATGGGTCTTTCGACAGGACTGAGCCCTTGGTGAGGCCCTGGCCTCGTCTCCTTGTTCTCTGTGGGCATACAAGGGAGGATGGCTTTACAGTCGGACTTGATGGTTATCATAGAATCATAGAATGCTTAAGGTTGGAAGGGACCTTTAGAGATCATCTAACCCACCCCCCCTGCACATGCAGGGTCACCTAGAGCACGTGGCACAGGGTGGCATCCAAGCAGGTTTGAAGATCTCCAGAGAAGGAGACTCCACAACCTCTCTGGGCAGCCTGTTCCAGTGCTCCGTCACCCTCACTGTTCAGAAATTTTTCCTTAAGTTCCTGTGGAACTTTTGATGCTTCAATTTCTGGCCATTTCCTCTAGTTCTGTCGGTGGCCACCAGTGTAAAGAGGCCAGCACCATCCTCCTCACTGCCTCCCTTGAGAGGAGACTCGATCTCTTCACTAGGGTGGGTGCTCCTGTGGAAGAGACATAGTGGGAGGCTGTAAGGAGAGGGTAAACCAGGACAGGGAGCAGAATAAGGACACAACAAGCAAAGCTGCAGAGCTGCTCTGAGAACTGCCTTCCCACTGAGCTGCAAAGCTGTTTCACCTCCTCTGTACACTAACCAGTCAGTGGAGTCTGGGGTGGATAAAATAGAGGTATGTGCTCCCAAGTTTATTTTTTTTTTTTTCCTTTTTTCATTGATAGCGTTGATAAGATCCATGGTTAAGCGGGGAAAGTGCAAGAACAGTAAACCTGCTCACATAATCTTGCAGCCATCAAAAACTATTTATAACAATATGAGTGCTAGTACTATGAGCTGATAGAGGTATTAAAGGAGATTTACAGAGTAAATGTGCTTGAGTGAGCATAGCCATGGTGACCTATAATTTAATTATATAAAATAACTCTAACACAAAAATAGGCCAGTTTTCAGGAGCATTTTGTGGGTTTTTTTTTCTCCTTCCCCTTTTTTTCTCCTTCTACGTGTTGTTTTTTTGTTTTGGTTTGTTGTTTTTTTTTTAAATGCTCTACAGCAGGTCTCTCTCTACAAGCTGTTAAGTACGATAGTGTAAGTTATGGTATGAAATGCTGATTTCTGCTTTCTCCTAAGTGTGACTATCTTTTTAATGATCTAAAAATGGCTGGAATAAATTGCCATGTGCTGCACATACACTCTGCACCTCTGCTTTGTCAGCACTGGCGTCTTCATTTCTCACTACCCTTGAGTTGCATCAAGCTTGAATTGATTTCCTCCCCCACACACACACACTTTTTTTCCCCTTATCCATTAGATCGTGTTTCATATATTCAAGCATATTAGTTAGTAAGCCAGATTAAGTGGACGTGAATCTCTTGTGCTGAAGTTTCCCAGGCAGAATGGAACCTGCTCAGTCTGCATCAAGCCGGTTTTGCAGAGGTGCAGGTGAGAAGTGTGGTGGAGGGGAAGAACCTCCTCTCCAATCCCAGGGCATGGACCTCTGCAAGGGTCTGTGGCTGCTTCTCCAAACTGCAGAGTATAGGAAATTAGGCCAATAATGCGTGTAAAGACATGTTTTTTGTCTTTTGTGGCCTGCCCTCTAGTATGGTGTGGCTTCTTGAGTACCTACTTGCTTTCTTGACAGCGGCAAATTGGGTGCAGGAAAGTATCTTAAAGCTGCACAAAATAGTCCCAGTGGCATCACAGATACCTAGATTATAAATGAAATCTGGATTGTTACTGTCTTTGGACAGTCCAAGATCAGTGAAGCAATTAGGGCCGCCTTCCTTCCGCTGTTCTTACACTGAATGACAACTCACTGCAACTGAAGATGTACGTATGATCTGTGTATGTACTGCATATTTATTTATCACATCCTCAACTGGCTTTTTGTCCACCTAAGGCAAGTAAATTCTGCTGAACGTTAGGAAGAGGAGCTTCAACTACAGGAAATAACCTAGCTGATAATTCATATTCCTTATTAATTCTTTTAACGCTCAAGCATATTCCAGCTGAATAATGCGTCTTGAAGAATAAAAATGTGTGCATCCAGCAGACTGCAAAATTTCAGCTCAAAGCAAGTAATCATAACCCGCTCTAACCCGCATCGCGTTCCGCGCTCTCAGTGTGATACAGCTTGTTTCTCCTCTCAAATTACTGTGTTGTAGTTTCTCTGCTCTTTGTTTTGTTTTTTTGGAGAGGAGCCATTTTTTTCATGTCCAGCTCTCTTTAATGAGGTGCTTAGGAATTAAATGCAGTTCATAAATATAGGGCGATTTATCTTGTGCTCCTCTGGAAAAGAAGCTTAAGCTTACTTTCTAAAGAAAGCTCTCAGAAGTCCTGCTTTCAAGGGTAATTTGTTAAATAAGGTAAATGCACAGTGTAGTAGAACCAAAATACATATTATGAAAATGTCCTCCTGTAGTAATATAAGCAGGACACCTAATTATAAGGCTAAATTATTTCTTCCTTGTATTATGAGATAAATGAGAATGTATTTCTTAATCATCGAAGGACCGTAAGTTGACTTCATGTGAATAATTAGGGGTGTTTGTGTGTTTAGCAATAGAGCTTGTGAAGGGTTTTGTGTTGCTGACTTTCGCAGTCTATCAATGGTTGCGTGGCTGTCCAGGAAATTGCATGTATCACAGGCAGACTTCAGTGTTCAAGGGGAGGAAGAACTTTGAAACCAGACAATATAGATAGTCTTAAAGGGATACATTGCATGGATCATTTTCCTCCTGGAAAATGTTGAATTATTTTACCCTGATTTGTAGGAGGCAAACGGTAAAAATTAGCGGTGTCTGACACTGTGGCTGACATAATTTTTCCATTCTAAAAATATAAGCCAAGTAGCTAGGCATTACCGAGCACTAAGTACCTTTGATTCCCAAGCTATGAACCCTTCCTTCCTAAAGTGTTTTAAATGTGTCCGTTAAATATGATCATATAAATCTTTCTTATTAAGAATTTTTATGTAATTCAGCACCAACATGGATGAGACTGGCATTGGGCAATCAACTGTTTACCTAAAATACCTGTGAGCTTACATGGAACCCAGGAGAGGGTGAAGTAAGAGTAGGTCTGTGTAGATGCTGTCATACAGCAGCATGTTAGCAAATTAAAACATCTCTGGTTGTCCAAACACTATCCTAGATTACACTTGCATTTGGTTAGTTGTATCTCTCCTCTCTAGCGAATGACTAAAAGCCAAAATCTTCTCCTTGCTTCCTGAGGGGTCGTGTGGGGTGAAGGGGACTCATGGGGGCAGGCTGCGTGTGGGGAGGATGGAGATCCCCAAGGGAACCCCAGGCTCTCTCTGTGGTGGAAAGGGGCAGTGCAGGAATTTGTCCTGCCCACTGGAGCTCGGGGCCCTGCACATTTTCTGCAAGGAGCTCATGGCTTGAGAGAAAAATCCTGGTTTTGCGCAAGCCTCAGATCATCACATCTACTAGGGAAAGGCATTTACAACACAGATTGGATCCCCCAGAGTTCTGAATATTTGATAATCTCCTAGGCAATTTTCCTCTGATTAGGAGCTATTCACTGGATCCTCGTTGTGCCATTACTGTAGCAAACTTCCACTGATTCCACACCTATTAATTAGATCCTCAAATGTATAATTTTGAGGACATGAATAATTTTTAAGATGATATGAAAGTTAATACAGTGCTCCTGCATTGCATATGACCTTGCCAGATGTATTGAGAAAGTCAATGTCAGATCCATCCATAAATGGCAGGGCAGCATTGCACTTCTGAAGTGTGTCATTGGTTTCTGTTGATTGCAAAAAACTACTTCTGGCCTTGAATGAAAGTAAGTAAATGGAAGCCACTATTCAAAAGCTAACCTTTACCTTTTGAAGTGTTTGAGATGCCATGGTTCTTATTTATTTCTTATCCTAAGCATAGGAAAATATGAGTATATTTCCAGTGTTGCATGGTAGAGGAATGACAAATGTTGCCTTGAAGCATGTTGGTTCTCATAGTGGAGACTATGGTACCAAAAGAAAAGAGCTTTGTTTATATCTGTTGTTCATATTTTTATATAAACTATTTGTATAATACATAAATTTATAGATATTTAGATATGTTATATATAAAAGAATACATATCATTTTAAAAACTATTTTTGGCCTTTCTAGTAATCTTCAGTCATTCCATGAGCCATTTCTTTGAGCTGGAAATACACTACTGTTTGATAAGTGCCCATTTCCCCAGAGAATTTTCTCCACATCGTATTCTGTTTCCACCAGCAATTTCTAAGAACTCTAACCCAATTGACAGCTGCATGAGTTATTCACACACCATTAATCTGAGACCGCAGTAGAGGTTTTGGTGGTGAAACAGTAATTTAGAACAGTAAGTTACATACTGACTAAAGTGAAACATGGTGTTGAAAACTTGAAAATCTCGCTGCATATAGTAAATCTGCACTAATACTTCTCTAAGACACTTTTGATTAGAAACTGCTTTAAATCCAACTAGTTAGGCTCCTATTTTCATTTCATTGTGTGTCAGCAAAAAGAGGAATGCAGAAAATGAAAAAGGTACCACATGTATATGGGAGAGCCATTCTTGAGATTTTTGCTATCAAACATACTGGTGAATAAATGTGCCTGGTAGGGAGCCTTTCACTTCCACAGATGAAGTCCATTATTTAAAAAAAAAATGTGCTGCCAAGTGATCCAAGTAGCACTTCCCCCAGTTATATAAAGGCAGCTTTTCAGCTCTCGAGTTTTATTTACTGAATTTTGTGAAGTGTCATTTCTACAGGGTTTCAGCGGCATGTGCAAAGAGCGTCACACAGATTTAAGGTGCTTGCCTCTGCCATCATTGCAACCCTGCTTGTCAGAGGGGATGAAACAATTCCAGCCTTTAAAATGGCCCAGCATCCTCAGTCCTCGATCATCAGTTTAGCCAAATGATTCTGGGTTTCGAGGAAAGGTGTAGCTGGTATTTTGTTATATTGCTAAATGTTTCAGGGCTGGGCTGAGGAGTGGCTCAGATGGAGCTTTCTATTGCTTGTTCAAAGTTAATTCAGTGCTAACAGACCGTGGCTAATGTTGGAAGACAATTCAGTAGAGTGTGTGCACTGAATGGTGATATCTGTCCACTTCAGAATCAATACCTGTCTGCACAATTAAGGAATTACACAAACATCCTGGTGAACGACAATCCTAGCAGTCAAATTAAAAGCGTTGACAAATTTTTACTGCTGCAGAGTTAGATAATTCAAACAGTTGTGTTGGGCTTTATTATCAGAGGAGGTGAATAGAAATGTCCCTTTTTTGTGGCCAGGCTCTGCCTTTGGCTTCTTTAGAGTAGCTGAGAATTTTTGCTTTCAGGTAGCTGGGCCTGTCTTAAGAGTCAGTAAATTCAGTAGCTCTAATCAAAGGCATGAAGGCTCAACCCACAAGAATGTGATTCTTTTCCAGGATATTCATGATTTTTGGTATCCACCTCTTGTCACAGAAGGTTACAAGCTTTGCTATATGGGAAGTGACCAACTGTCCTGAAGCAATGCTCTTCACACATCCTTTCCATCCATGCCACTGCTAGGCACAGGCTTCAAGTCCTGTGTATTTGATTTGTTCCAGCTAATTCGTTTCACTATTGCATTTTCTTTTGCTGCTCTTAAAGAAAACTCCTCTTATGCTGCCCTAGAGTTGTGACCCCATTCCACTCTGAACTGTGTTAGTGCTGAGTACAGTAGTTCTCATCCGTGTGTAGCATCCCGTCGACTCCCAGAGGCAGAGCTGATAGGAGGGCATTTGTGTGCTGTTTTCATGCTTTGGTTGTGACATACATCCCAATACAACCCTGTCAGCACAGGGGGAGGAACCTGGCAGTGCTCCTGGGTTTCTGCTTCAGCAGAGACATGCCTGGAGATCTCCCTCTGTCCTCCCATGACCTGGCATACTTGGAAGAGAGTTCAGTCCAGGGAGCAGATTCATGTCTTGGAAGCTTTTCCAGGTGGAATCAACCTTCTTTCTTCTGTGATGGGCCTGTGTCAGCAGCATGTGTTTCTGTTCCTTTCTGTCATTTTACAGGGTGGACAGTGTGGAGATGGTTTCCAAGTCCGCAACCTCACATGTGTAGTGCACGATGCATCTGTTCCTGTTACCTCCAGACCAGTGGAAAATGCTTTATGTGGTGAGCTACCACCAAAAGAGAGTGTGCTGCAATTACCCTGTTCTGTGCCTTGCCCAGGTAAAGTCACTGGGGAGTCGCAGCAGATTCCTGTTTGAAATAGCTTTTTGAGGTAGAGGTGCCTCCGTAGTTCAGCAAATGTAACTCATGCTGGTAGAACAGCTGTTGTTCATTTTTTGTTTTAAGGTATTTTACAAAAGCCAGAGTTATGCTCAGGCCTCAACTGTTCAAGCTCCTAGTCGTTCTTTTCGGGGGGAGATAAGATACTAGATGAAGCAGAACATCTGAACAACGACTATCACTGGGTGACAAACTGGTGGTGTTTCGCTGTTAAAGCTGATGTAAACCTAGGCTGTTCTTGTGCTTTATGGCTGATTCAGTTTGATAACCCACGATTTGTTCATTCAATGTATAGGTGATTGCCACCTGACAGAGTGGTCGGAGTGGAGCTCTTGTGAGCTCACGTGCATTGGTGGCCGGAGCTTTGAGACAACAGGTCGCCAGTCTCGGTCAAGGACATTTATAGGTCAGGCTTTTGAGAACCAAGAGAGCTGTTCTGGACAAGTCATGGAGACGCGGCCTTGCTCAGGTATCGTTGCCACAACGCTGCTCTCTCCTCTTCAAGAACTTGTTTTGATTATGTTCAGATGTGAAGACTGACTGGTACTGGTGGCTTTGTGTTGTAGGAGGGAAGTGTTACAGCTATCTGTGGAAAACCAGCCTTTGGCAAGAAAATGAGCGCACCGTGTGGTGTCAACGCTCAGATGGGATAAACGTCACAGGTATAGCCAAAAACTGCATGCACGATTGTGACTAAAAAGTCTTCATGCCATCTTATTTCTTGCTGTGAATCAGCTGCTCAAAGGACAGAGGGAGCGCCTTTCCACGCTCCTTCAGAATATGGATTCAGATTTGTATGTGGGAAAGACAGGTAGGGTTTTACCAACCGTGTTACCAGGTCAGCATCATGCATGTTGTTAAATGAGAATAATTGGGTGAGTTCCCCCCTGTTGTGTGCCAGGTCACAGGAAGAAACAGGTGTGCACGTACTAAAAGGCCTGCCTGACTTGTACCAACTGATAGTGCTGCAACCTCTTCCTAACTCTAAAGAAAGGAAGAGAAAATCACATGCACGGTAGAGAGCCCAGATTCTTTAGCTCTTCTTCTATTCCAT